GAGCAAGAGCAATACTGTGTAGCCAACTCCAGCACAGGCCAGTAACACAAGTTGTCCAGAATGAGTCAGGGAGCAGGTACAGCAGCCCAGGTCCTGCCCCTGAGGGGATCTCAGTTCAGTTCTAGAGAATCTGGCTGGCAGGCAGCAATGCACAGAAGCCCCAGGCCAGGGCCCACAGGTTGGGCAGTTGTGAGCAAGTCAGGCCAGCAATGGGATCACCTCCTCCATACATTTGCTAACAAAAGACCATTCAAGAGACCAGACAAGCAGTCTCAGTGGCAGAAACAGAAACTCGGAGCCACTGCCAGGCCAGAGGCCCAGGGGCCAGGCCCACCTACCCTACCCACAGCAATACCACAGTAACCTGGCAACTTGGCCGGCCTCTTCTACAACCTCTGCCCAACAGCCTACCTCCTTGAAATCACAGCTCGGACCTCCGTGTTTGAGCCTGCAAAGTACTTTGCAATATACTCACATTGCCTTGTTTGGCAGTTGATGTGACATGGAGATAAGTCCTGACCTGCATACCTAGGGTCTGTCCTACCTCTGGGTGGTATGGGTAGGTGTATGTGTGCATGGATTTACCTGACCTTGTTTATCTCTGCTTCAGGAAACACATTGCCCCCTCCTTCCTGAGAGATGCCTTCATTTCCACTATTTCCACAGAACCAAGGCCCACACCTCTTTCCACATACTGCCACCACCAGGGTGTGTGTCTCCCCCATCGGGCTCTGAACTCCTGGGTGCACAGCCACATTCTAGGCATGTCTGAGTCTCCAGAACTTAGCATAGTAGCTGCTCAGTAAATGTTGATGACTGACTGGGCACTTTAATATCATTATCCCTTTAAGTCATAATCCAGTCTAAACTCAGAACAACCTAAGGATCTGTATAAAATTTCGAAGGAGTTTTAAAACTTTCTCAGTGCCCTCTCCACCTGCCACTTCCTCATGTCTGCTCTCTAGGTCTTGGTCCAACCCCAATCACCAAAATACTATGATAAATTAGCTACCTCCATTGACTTCACCCCTTAAGCATCCCAGACCTAAGATAGAGTCAAATTCTTAGTTTTAGACTCTACCAAAGGAACTGGGTATAGGAATGAAGGAATCTATACCTTGGGAATGTATGGTTTGTACCTGGGTATGAGTGACTGCCAGAAGACAGCCCTGAAGGACAAGTGGGCTTTCAACACCTCCTGGTGAGTGAGGACTTTTTCCCGCCTATGTCCAGCTCACATGTGCTCACTGGGCTTTCTCCATGTGTCTGACACCAAGCCAGGCACTGTCTAGGGGATAAGTTGACTTTGCCCTTGAAGAGGTTAAGTGGGGGTGGAGGGGAAAAGGCGTGGACATAAGTAGCTAAAATGAAAGTACCCTGGGCCATACAGCATTTAGTGGTACAGGGAACAGGAAAGCATGCCTGTTCACAGGAATTAGGAAAAGCTATTAGAAAGGATGAGCAGTTGAGAGGCGCCTTGAAGGATAATATAATAACAACAAAATGTCATTCTGATAATAATGTCACTGCTATCATTACTATCATAGCAGCTAATAGCTACTGAATATTTGCTGTGTGCTAGACACCACATAAAGCACTTTACATAGCTTACCCTTCTCAGCCCTCTTGCTCATTTGACAGATAAGAAAATTGAGGTTTAGAAGTATTAAGAAAACTAGCAAGCATAAGAACCCAGATTAGAGCCCGAGTGCATGTGTCTCTGAAGGCTATCAACCCCAAAGTCAGCAGGCCTGAGTGACAGAGCTTATTCCAGATAGGACCTAAGCACAGGCAGAAGAAAGGAAATACAGACATGGGATGACCATCGGAGAAGGTGCCTAGAGAGTAGCTGCACCCAGGTTCCAGAGAGCCTTGAGTGCCAGTGCCAGGCACCTGTCCTTACTAAGAGGCAATGGAGAGCCACAGAAGGCCTGATGTAACTATCTGATTAGCAAATCAGTGGGAAATGGACTGGAATGGAGCAAATGGAAATGAAGAGTCCATCACAATGGTCTGGGTGACAACGCAGCTGGGTGAGGTGAGAGGGTGTGTGAGAACCTGTGAGCACATGCCCATCTATGTGCTATGTCTGCTAGATTATGTACATGTTTGAAAGGGAAAGTGTGTGAACTGTGAGTGTGCATGTGAGTGTGAAGGGCCTTTCTGTTGAAGAAAAAGGTTGCAGAGCCTTCCTGGTGGGAGGCGGGGTCAGGTAAGCAGCGGGAAAGAAGAGACATGACCAACCAATTGGTCTATGTAAGGAAGAGGGCTCTGGTGAATGAGAAGCCATCATTTCACAGCTCTGTGAGCCCCCGGAAGCACACAGAGCCTGGCACATCAGAGGAACTCAATTAACATTTGTTAAAATAATGTAAGAATGGATCTAAGATCTTGGCCTCAGGTCTCTTCTGAGGCCTGACTTTAGCCTTCAGCAGTGTGTGTGTGTGTGTGTTGGGGGTGGCGGTAGGGGTGTCACTGTCATTCCAACTAGACCCTCCCTCATCCCCAGTCCCCTCCACCCCAGATATTCTGAGCCGAAGCAGTCACACTCCCAGAGCTCCGGCCTTGAGTATCTTTCCAGCAGACTCCAAGCTGACTTCATACTTTCTCAGGTCAGGTTCTCCCCTCCTGCCTCCTATTTTAAAGCAAAGATGCTGCCAAATTGGCCCCAAGCTTTCGCCTGAGCTGAAAATATACTGCTTCTCATCAGCTACAAAGAGAACTGACCAACTCTCCCTGTCCCACTCTCTAGCTGGCCAAAGGCTCTCCCTCCAGAGGATTTCACAGACCCACCAAAGGATGGCCCTGAATCTCATCCTCTCCAGAGGGCACTTCTTTCAAGACTCTGCCCAGTCCCAGGTTTCATCCTGGCGGAAAAGACCAGGTAGACCAATGTCTGGGAGGGGCTGGCTCCCACGTCCCAAGAGAAGAAAACTTGGTCTCAGTTTCTTAGGTGCCTCCTGTCCTACCAAATGTAAGGGAAGGCTTTCTCTGGATTAAACAGAGAACAGCTCCTTTCTTGCTCAGCTCAGCTGCAACCCTGTTTTATGAAATAATTACTACGTTTCAGCACCTAGAAAGAAAGGGGATCTCTTTCAGATCATATAATCTATAAAAGTTTAGAGGAAGAAATGCCTTTGAAATCATGGGATCTAACCCCCCCCCCCCAAGCAAGGCAATGTTGACAGACACAGAAATGGACAGATGTGGCAATAGAGGTTTAAAATCTTGGAGACTTTCAGTTTGCTTCAGCTCATTCTAAGCCATTTCTGGCTTTCACCAAAACCCGGTTTGCATCCAAGAGTATCTGTGGAATAAATGCACTTACCCTTGGGGCAGAGCCTGGACGAGAACCTGAGTCTATGGCTCCAGGCACGTAGCCTGTACGCTACAGGCTCTCTGCCTCCTGAGGCTGGGGCTGTCATGACTGATTTATTTCCTCCAGAGCACTCGAGCAGAAGCTGGTGAGTGATTTGTTAGACAGTGAGTCCTGGGGGCTGCCTGGCACAGGCTGCCTGCCATCCAGATGGCAGCCACCTAAATACAACAGGGCTATGGGGCAGGGAAGCGTGTGCTCTGATTTATGGGAGATGTAAGTGGCTCTGAGCAGAGATTCCTAGGATGAGTCCAGGAGCCTCAGGCTTTACTCAGGGGCAGGGCACGGATAAAGCAAACAGTGGAGAGATTTAAATTCTGGTCTGAGACCCACCTCTTGAGTCTAGCACCGAGAAGAGGGGCTCCCCTTGGGGATCTGGAAGTGCGTTTCTCTCTATCTTCCTGTCAGGGTTCCTGGGGAAATGTTTCCTTCTGGGCCTTCTCAGCCTTCCCCTAGATGCTTTGGTGAGCTGATGAGGCAGGAAATGTCTGGTCTTCCAGCTAAGATCTATACAGAAGTACTGCGTGTGTGTTGGGGAGGCGATGGTATGGGTTACAGTTTGTGTGTGTGTGAGCGTGCTGTGATGAGCGTGAGTGCACAATGTGATGGCAGGGTATGTGGGTAGCATTGTGAGCGGTGTGTTGTAGTGAGTTATATGTATGGTGTATTTGGTGTTAATGCAATGTGATATATGTGTGTGAGTAGTGGTGTGTGTGTAGTATGGTATATGTACATGTATGTGTTTGGGTGTGTTTGTGATATGCCGTGTGGGGGGGATGAGTGGAGTGGGTAAGAGGCCATGTAAGTTTGGATGGGAGCTAGCTATGCAGGGGCCCCTCCCAGAGAAGCTGGATACCAGTATCTAGGCAGCCATGTTGGGGGGAAGAGAGGAGATTTGGAGGTGAGGAATGGGCAGAAAAAGGAGGGAGGCCAAGAATTAAAAGGGAGTTTCCATGGCAACTATCAGGCATGTCACAGGCAAAAGGCTAAGTTGCAGAAACATACACACACCCACATACACAATTTGAGAGCACCAGGCCCCCAGAGGAGGGGTCCTTTCACCAGAACCGACTGCCCACTAATCCATCTCCAAACCTGGAAATCCAGCCCAGCCTCAGAGCACCATGCCAGGGAGACAAAGGAAATGAAGACAGAGGCTACATGGGTGGGGAGAAACCTTAGCTGCCTCAGCCCCTCACATCTGGAGGTTGGCAGCAGGGGTCTTAGACAGGACCATTTCTCCAGCACAGCTGCTCCCTGCCCCACCCTTGGGTGCTTTTTCTACCAGCCACCACTTGTAAGAGCCAGAAGCAAGCGTCAGAGGCTGCGGGCTGCTCTTCCAACTCTCCAGGAAGCTCAACGAGACACAATGTGTGGGAAGCTCTACTAGGGTCATCCCTGCTGGGAAAGGGGCTGGGCAGGAGGAAAGGAGGGAATGGGGCAGGGAGGGGGTCAGGGCCCCCTAGAATTTATCGGTTCTGGATAAACAAGGAGAAAAAAATTGATGCAGGCGTTCTCATAAATCTCCATGCCCTGGAACCCCAACCTTTCTTTACCTCCCCCACAGGCCTGCCACTCCCCAAACCAGCAAGTACCATTTTGTATTGCTTGTGTCCACACTCACATCAGCCACCTTCCACGCTCTGCTCCGGTGTCCACAGCTTCCAAGTAGCAAAGGGAAGACTCCCCCTGGGCGTAGGGTGGTGCAGCCCTTTCCCCTTCTTCTAAAAACCAGAGCCTCAAGCTCCAGGCAGCAGCAAGCGCTCTTCCAGCCACCAGCTTCACCCCACCTCCGGTGCCTACCTCCCTCCGAGGCCCGTCTCCCCTTCCGACGCCTACCTCCTTTTTTACATCCCAACCCGATTTCCGCTGCCCAAGTGGCAGGTGTCCGTGAAGATGGCTCACACCCACGAAACAAACCTGGCAGCTCCCCAGAGTCTGCGATCCATCCCCACCCGAGCTTCTCCTCCTGGAAGAAAAACCCAACTTTATCACCCCCGCAGCCGCTTACCTGCACAGCGCGGTCCACTCCGAGACAATCCCGGGAGGACGCGCAGTGTACGGAAGAGCTGGGAGTGGCGGGCCTGGGGAAGACGGTGGGAGAGGCTTTCTCTGTTTTCCCGCCTCCCCTCCGCCGGGGTGGGCGGGGGAGACGCGCGTCTCCCAGGGGGTGGGAGCAGTGGGCGGGGCCCCGCGGGCCTGTCTGGAGACCCCGCAGCCTTATCGCCCTCCGCCGGCTTCCGGTTTGCGTTCCCTGGGATCCAGGTCGCCCCGGCCCCGGCCCCGGCTCCCGCTCCGGGCTCGCCCCCTCGCCCTCGGGCAGTAAGGGAGGCTTTCCCGGGGCTGCCACTTCCGAGAAGCAACAGGAGCCTGCAGTCGAGGGGCGGGCCAGAGCCAGCTTGGGTTTGTCAGGAAGCCGCCTTTTGATTTTACTCTAGTGAAGGTGGGAAGAGAGCGGGACAAACACAATGACAGAGCTAGTGTCACTCTGAAATAGAAAGCTGAGGGGACCGGAACAAAAAAAGATAAAATAAGCCAGCACCAGACACAGCAACCCACGTTAATTGGAGCCTTGGCAGTTAAGGGGAATGTGCACGAAATGTGCACCATTCGTGTGCACGTGAAGAATGGCTGTGTCCTGGCACCGGTGAGTTGGCTCTGGTTGTAGTAGCAGCTAGAGACAGGCGTGGTGCTGGGGAGGAGGTGCTCAGCCCCAACCACAGATTGCTGCCCTGAACCTCCTTTGCAAGATCCTCCCGCCCCCATCGCAGTACTCTCCTCTCCCTAGCCCACTCCTCAGGGTCCAAATTCAAGACAGAGAACATCATTTGAAGATTTAAATCCTAGTGCTACACAACTCAACCTGTGGCTTCATCTAGAGTCCATGTGAAAATGGCTGAGACCACTGACCTCCTAGGATGCTTAGCCTATTCCTCAGAGTAAGTGCTCAGTGAAGCAGCCGTCAGGGGGAAGAGCAGGCTTATAGGAAGGAAAGAGGCCAGGCACTGGCGGAAACCACAGAAACAGAGCAAGGGCTGGCCACTTAATTGGGAGCCAGCAGGCCATGCTGCTTGCCATGAGGCTGCCCAGCCTCAGCCACAAAGTGGCAACAGGGTGAGGGGTGGCTCCTGAGAGAGGCTGCAGTGTCCAAGCCTGGGCAGGGCCCCAGGGAGTTCATTACAGACCCCAAACCCTGGGAGGATGGGTACTGCTAGAAAGAGTCCCAGCCCTACTTCTAACACCTCTGTCCTGGGCCTCCAGTTTCTCATTTGTGCAGTAAAGGAGATGGAATACATAATGCTGAAGACCCTTCCAGCTGGAACCCTAGGTGATTTAATTGTTTTAATAAATGTTCAGGTCTTAAAAGCTCAAGGCAGGAAATTTACATAAATCCAAGAAAACTTTGCACATATTTGGAAGCCATGAATGGCTCCCGAGACCGTGAGGCCGTGGGGAGGATAGCTCTGATCCATGTCACTTTATGTAGACTGAGTAATATTTGTGTTCCTGTCATTTCCTCCATAAGCCTAGTACTTGGTTACAATTCACTCTAGATGCGAGAGATCCAACCACGCCACTTGCTAAGCCCATGTCCTTGAGCAAGTAGATTAATCTCTTCCAGATGCCATTGAATGCTGCCTTGACCTGTTGGCTAAAAACCAACGCTCTGTGTTGCCTTTTGGAGTTTCTAGTGGCTAGAAACTTCAAACATGAAGAACACGTCAAACCCAGGCTATGCAAGCTTGTTAGGGAAAGGAAAGACCTGGGTCAGAACTCCAAGGCCGAGCCAGCCACCTTTTAGTACCAGTCCTTTTCCTACCAGAAAATTCCAAGGTGTTTGGCCACATTATTTCCCAGGCATGCCTGCCTGACACTGCTGAACAACAACAGGTGGCAGAGGGATGCCAGATGCTACCTTCACATGAGGAAGGGCAATGGTTCGCCTCTCAAATAGTGTTTTTTCCAGTCCATCCAGGAGCACTGCTGAGAAGAGTTTGGGATGACACAGCTGGGAAGTCACATATAAGCTTGTTCTACAGGGAGTCATGTCTCTTCTAGTGAGAGGAGAAACACATCTAATCTCTACCCTATGCATCATGTGGACATGGGTAAAGAAAAGGTAGCCAACTGCTCCATTCGCTCTACACATGTATTGGTATAAGGAGCTACTCTTCACTGAGCCCTGGGCGAACCTCTGGAGTACAATGCTGAAAGGAAAGATATGCTAATAGGTGAGATATTTATCAGATAGTCCCACTAACAGTGTGAGAATAAAACATGGTTCAAAGCCCTGAGGGTGTAGCTTTGAGAACCGAGTTGAAGGGTCAGGAGATGTTAAGGAGGTGAGACAAAGAAGCCAGGTGTTGGAGTGACAAGCAGACTTGGAAAATGCTTCTGACACAGGAACAGAACCAACATGTGCGAAGGCCCTGAGGCAGAAGGAGCATGGCATGGAAGGAGCTACTATGGCCGTCAGGCAGAAGAGACAAGCCAGAGAAGGAAGCAAACACCAGACCAGGCAAGCCTGGTAGTTTCTGGGTTAATCCAACCTTTATCTTCAGGGCAATGGGAAGCCACTAAAAGGCACCTACAAACTGTTGCAAGCCAGAATTGGGGAGTGGCTGGCTGTTGCCAGGGGACTCTCCAGTCAGGGGCTGTGAGGAGAGTAGAGCTAATTGAAGTTAAGAAGTGGGCCTGGATCCCAACTGAAGAGAACCCTACTTTTCTACATGCCTGAGGAGCAGAGAGAGAGACACACACACACAGCCGGGGCAGGGGTGTACAGCTATGATGGAAGTAGGGTAAGAGACCATCTCTGAAATACTCCTCCTCTGCCCTACTCCCAGAATTGGAGCCATGGGACACATAGGGCTTGGGAGGACAGCAAAACTGTCAGGAGCATGAAGGACTGACTGCTCCAAGCTGAAAAGCATGTGCTCGAACTGACTATGTAACTTACTGCTCAGCTAAAACCCCATCTGGATAGCATTTGCCCCAGTTCCCTTATACTGTGGCAAAAAATAGCTCTTCATTATGTCAGTGCCCGGGGTCACACGACCACAGAGAAAATTAGAGGGGTAAGACAAGAAGTCTTGAAAGGAAGACCCCTGCCCTTTCTAGCAGGTAATCCTCCAAGATGAACTAAGGAAACTTTACAGGTGCCACTTCATCCTGGGGTACAGAGTGAAAAACCAGAGCAGATCCTGCCCACTCTTGAGGCTCAGGGCAGGCTGCCCCAAGATACCCCACAATGGCATATTAATTATTTGGAGTTCAAGTTCCTTGAGAAACTGCAGTGCAAGAAGAAAACTGACTTCTCTGTTTTATTAAAAGCAGAAGAGGCATCTCCCATATAGTAGGTGCCCTCCCTGCTCCTGAAGGCTGTAAGTTATCACAAGAGTTAGACAAATCCAGAGTGGAAATCTTGTATAAACAAGCCTAGTGATGCCTTTACTAATTCACTACCCAAGTCCAAACTTTGTTCATATTCCTCACTGAGGAATATCCAAACCTTACTTAGATTCCTTTCCAATAAGCACTAACTTTCTTTGTCCTGTAAATTTCTCTCAATTTATCAATCTCTTTGTCTAAAAAGTATAAAGAGGTGTCTGGTTCAGTCATTTATTTGAGCCTCATTTTACTATCTGAGCATCATACTGTGATTCTCCCTTGAGTACATGTTAAATTGTTTTTTTCTGAGAATTCTAGACTTGTGTCAATTTTACTATTATATTACTTGTCCAACCATAAGAACTAAAAAGGAGAGGTAGGAATTCTCCCCATCCCACTCCTCAGCCAAATGCTAAGCCCCCAGTGCCTGGGTCAAAACTATTTCCTAACTCCTTGGCAAGAAGAGCCAGCTCACTTCCAAACCACTCCTTGATCTGGATCCCTTCCTCCCTCCCTAACCGTGCCTTCCCACACTCTTCTGGCTTCTCCCTAGACTATCTGTGCCAGAGAACATACAGTGGGATAAAGACAGCATATTCAATAAATAGTGTTGAGAAAATTGGACAGATACATACAAAAAAATGAACGGACCACCTTCTTACACCATATAAACTCAAAATGGATGAAAGACTTAAGTGAAAGACTCAAAACCATAAAGCTAAAAGAAAACATAGGCAATAAACACTGACATTTCTCTTGGTAATATTTTTTCTGATATATCTTCTCAGGCAAGGGAAACAAAAATAAATAAATAAACAAATAAGACTATATTAAACTAAAAAGTTTTTGCACAGCAAAGGAAATCATCAGCAAAACAAAAATATAACGTACTAAATGGGAAAAGATATTTGCCAATGATACACCAGTCAATATACAAAATTTATAAGGAACTCATACAATTCAACACACACAAAAATCCAATTAAAAAAATGGTCAGAAAACCTGAACAGACACTTCTCCAAAGAGGACACAGATAGCCAACAGACATATGAAAAGATATTCAATGTCTCTAATCATCAGAGAAATGTAAATTAAAACCACACACCTGCCAGAACAGCTATCATCAATAAATCAACAACAAGTCCTGGCAAGGATGTGGAGAAAAGGGAACCCTTGTGCACTGTTGGTTAAAAATGAAACTGTCTATGTTATGACCCAGTGATTCCACTTCTGGGTATGTATCCAAAGAAATTCAGGACACTAATTTGAAAGGATATATGCACCCCTATGTTCATTGCAGCATTATTTACAATAACCAAGATATGGAAACAGCCCAAGTACTCATCAATAGACAAGTAGATAAAAAAGCTGTGGTACATTTACACAATGGAATACTACTCAGCCATAAAAGTGAAATCTTACTATTTGTGACAACATGGGTGGACCTAAAGGATATTATGCTGAGTGAAATAAGTCAGGCAGAAAAAAACAAGTACCATATGATTTCACTTCTATGGGGAATCTAAAGAATAAAATAAATGAACAAATAATACAAAAACACACTCATAGATACAGAGAACAGACTGATGGTTGCCAGAGAGGAGAGGAGGGGGTGGGGGGGAGTGAAAAAAAATGAAGGGATTACTAAGTACAAATTGGAGGTTACAAAATAGTTATAAGGATGTAAAGTACAGTGTAGGGAACATTCTAATAACTCTGTATGATGCCAGATGGGTGCTTGTATTATTGGGGTGGGGGGATCACTCTAAGCTGTATGGTTGTCTGGCCACTGTTCTGTATTCCTGAAACTAATATAAAATAGTGTTGAGTGTCAACTGTAATTGAAAAATAAAGTTAAAAAAAAGAAAACAAAGTAGCTGTGTCAGGCTCTTGTTGCTCTGATTTATGTGACTCCTGAACAATCCTATCCACAACCACAGTTCTATTACCCACTGAAGGCTGGTGACCCCTCACCTCAAACATCAGGCTAAATAAGCCCCCGGGGGAAATCAGAGCGGCTCTCACTGAATTCCTCTTCCGACCTGTGACGTCTTCCTCAATTCATAAATGGCACTGCCCCAACCCACTTACTCTTCCTCACTCCTCTCCCCTGACTGCTTCTGTTCTAGGTCAGGCCTCTGTGGGACCAGCCTCCTCCTGGTGATTCTGACTGTCTCCCCAACCCCAGGCTATTAACTCTTGTTTGGTGGAATTATTTTCCAAAAGACAGGTATGGTTTAAACCTTCTGTGGCTCCCTAGTTTTTAGTAGTTAAAATTCAACTTTAAAAAAATTAAAATACAAAATCGTTTATATCATAGAACTCTTCAAGTATAAATTGTTCTTTCAAAATCATGGGTTACATTGAATCATCCTTTATAATATCTATCTGTATGAGGATTCTTGAGTTGGCCCGAGACATTAAAGCTTAAGTTTTCTTTAATTTTTTCTAGTTGGCATTCAATATGATATTAGTTTCAAGAGCACAGCATAGAAGTTAGACATTTGTGTAACTTACAAGGTGATCCCCTCAACAAGACCAGTGACCATCTGACACCTTGCACAGTTATTACAGTATTATTGACTATATTCCCTATGCTGTACTTTACATCCCTATGATTGTTCTGTAACTGCCAATTTTTATTACTTAATCCCTTCCCCTTTTTTGCCTATATCCCAAATTCTCCTCTCATCTGGTAACTATTGCATTGTTCTCTGTAGCTGTGAGTGTGTTTATGCTTTATTTGCCCACTTATTTTGTTTTTTAGATTTCACATATAAGTGAAATCACAGTTTTGGCTTACTCTGTCTAACTTACTCCCTTCTAGGTCCATCCATGCTGTTGTACATGGTAAGATTTTATTCTTTTTATAGATAAGTAATATTTCATCATGTCCATGTACCACATCTTCTTTAGCCAATCTCCTATCAATGGACACGTAGGTCGCTTCCATATCTTGGCTATTGTAAATAATACGAAAGTGAACATAGGGATGCATATATCTTTTTGAATTACTGTTTTGTATTTTTTCAAATAAGTACCCAGAAATTGGATTGCTGGGTCATATGGTAGTTCTATCTTTGAATTTTCTGAGGAAACTCGATAATGTTTTTCATAGTAGCTGCATCAAGTTGCAAACCTACCAACAGTGTGTCAAGGTTTTAGGCTTTCCTTTTCTCCACATCCTTGACAACACTTGTTTATTGATTTATTGATAGTAGCCATTCTGACAGGTATGAGATGCTATTTCATTTTGGTTTTAACTTGCATTATTCTGATGATCAGTGACATTGAGCATCTTTTCATATGTCTATTAACCATCTGTATGTCTTCTTTGGAGAAGTATCTATTCAGGGCTTCTGCCTACTTCTTTATTGGAATTTTTGGGGTTAAGTTGTATAAGTGTCTTACATATTTTGTTATTAACTCCTTATTAAATGTGTCATTGGCAAATAACTTCTTCAATTCAGTAGGTTGCCTTTTTGCTTTGTTGCTGGTTTCTTTTGCTGTGCAAAACTTTTGATGTAGTCCCATTTGTTTTTTGTTTGTCAGTTTCTCTTGCCCAAGAATATATATCAAAAAAAAAAAAGATTACTAAGAATGATGTCCAAGAGTTTACTGCCTCTCTTTTCTTCTAGGAATCTTATGGTTTCAGGTCTTACATTTAAGTCTTTAATCCATTTTAAGTTTATTCTTGCATATGGTATAAGGAGGTGCTGTAGTTTCTTTTTTTTTTTTTTTGCCTGTATCTGTCCAGTTTTTTCAACACCATTTGTTGAAGAGACTGCCTTTACCCCATGGTATATTCTTGCCTCCTCTCTCATAGGTTACTTGACCATATAGGTATAGGTTTATTTCTGGGCTCTCTCTTCTGCTTTGTTTATCTGTATGTCTGTTTTATGGCAGTACCAAGTTGTTTTAATTACAAAACCTTACAGTGTAGTTTGATATCAGGTATCATGAAACCTTCAACTTTGTTCTTCTTCCTCAAAATTGTTGTGGCTTGTAAGGGTCTTTTGTGGTTCCATATAAATATTAGGATTATTTGTTCCAGTTCTGCGAAAAAAAAAATGTCATTGGTGTTTTGATAGTAGAATGCTTTGGGTAGTATGGATATAAAATCCAACTCCTTAAGATGACATTTAGCCTTTATAGCCCAATACTCTTTTCTGCTTCATTTCCTGAGACATTCTCTGTCTTGCCTTCCCCATTCCATCACTCTAGGTACCCCAATCTTTGCACACTCTGTCTCATAGCTTAAGAGGGCCAGTCACTGCTTGCTCCCCTGCTCCCAAATTATTACTCAAATAATTTTCTCTGCTTAAAATATTCTCTGTCTCACTTCCATACCTTATAAGAATCCTGCCTACTATGCAAAGCTAAATTTAAATATCACCTCATTGAAATCGAAGCTATCTTGTCCGTGCTGTCATTAACAGTATTGTGTCTCTACATGTCTTTGTACACATCAGAGTCTGAACTTTATTATGTCTAATTCCATGTATGTGCTGCCCTCATAGACCGAGAATGCCTTGGGGTAGCTGGGCATCTTACTGCAATTATAGACCCCAGGGTCTTGCCTAACACAACTATAACTGCAGCTCACAAGGCCCTATATGATTTTGCACCAGCCAGCCTCTCCAGATTCACATTGGGTATTTTCTTGCTTGTTCTCTCTCCAGTAAGCAATCTCTCAGTTTAACCAAAGGGTCTTCAGTCCTGGTTGTCTGAGCGGTGGCACCTTGGGCTTAAACCATGCATGTGAAATGCATTTGCTTTGTTCTCTCTTACCAAGATGAATGGGTGGAATAGCTTGTGATATTGAGGTCACAGGCAGAAGAAAAATGGGTAGTGAGTTTCACAGGGCTTTTAGGCTAGACTGCCTAAGAGGAAGAGCAGGTAGCCCTGACACTGTCATTGGGAGTTGAAAATCAGGATGTCTCTATGTGTGGAGCTGTAGGAGCTGGGTAGGATGACAGACACTGTTGGTTCCCTAAACCATATTCATTCTATTTTTTTGCCTTCCTATCAGAATTGTTTTCTAACTGAGCTGCAATGTGCTCAGTTTAAACTGATTTTACAGAGTCCTTTGCAAGTAGAGGTGTCTATGTGATCCACTTCTGGCCAAGAAGATGGAAACAGAATTATACTAAGTAAGAATTCTAAGAAAAACACATAATTCTAAGAAAGGGCTCTTTGCCCTTTTCCTTCTTCCTCTTCCCTTCTCTCTCCCTCCTCCTTTCTTTTCTTCCCCTCATCTTTCTTCACCTCCTATTCTTCCTCCTCTCCCACTCTTTTCATCCTCCTTCTCAACAATTTCTTTTTTTTCTCAGAAATATGGATGTGATGCCTGGAGGTAAAGCAGCCATCTTACAACCATGAAGCAAGAAGCCTCCTACTAAGGATGGTAGGAAGAGAAGCCACCAACAACTGACTTCATTCCAGATTTCTTGTTTCATGAGAAAATTCATCTCCTATTACATAAAATTTATAGTAGTTGATTATCTGTTTCATGGAGTTAACACAATCTTACCTGATACAAGTAGGGTGGAACAGCTGGCAGGACAGCTTTTTGTCTTTTGAGAAAGCCTTGCCCCCAGCACTCCCAAGACCTCTTCTGGCCACTTACAGCCCCATTAGTGCACACTGGACACATGCCAGCATTCAGAGAATACAAACACCACCATTTCTCTTCTTAGAGTGTGTCTTATATGGTTCCTTTCCTTATCTACCTTTATACCAATTAAGGTATTAATTTGGGGGAAGGGAAGAAAGCAAAGAAGGTCATAGTGGGGGAATCTGAAATAAAATCCCACCCTGTCTTCCCCCAGGAAGATTTTAACATATGTCAGAAACCAAGGCATGACAAAAAATGGATGAGATTTGTTTTTAAGGGAAAAACCCACACCAATCCCATTAATTTGCTAAACCAGTTGCTGCCTGAATAACTGAAACTTGTCTTATAATTGTGAACTGTCACCTAAAGGTGCTGATCTATAATTGGAAGCACACATCTTCCAGAGCTGCTGGTTATCCAGATTGGAGCACATGATACCTCCTCCCCCCTGCCTTTCCACTCTGAAAATGTGCACTCATTTGTTTTTTCTCAACGAATGCTAATGGGGGAAAACCAAGCAATGTTGCCCTTTAGAGATAATGACGATGGAAATTCAATACATAATGGCTCCCTAGACAAGACCAGAATAGCTTTGTGTGTCTGCTCTCCTGGTGCAGAAGCTGGCAGCCTGTTAGCATTAGCAGGCCTCTGAATTCCCTGCCCTTCCCTGAGTGCCTGGAGCCAGCATTCATGGAGAAAAGCACCTGTTTATCATCATATACTTTTTTCTAACCAACTGGATCGGGCTCAGAACAGAGTCTGCAGCTGAGTTTTTGAGCCACAAAGAATCAGAGAGACCCAGCAGGCACCTCCATTCAGTCTATAGACTGGCTTTGCAGGTAGATAATAACTAACCAAAGCATGTTTACCAGGCAAGTAAGACTGACTTGAATCCATTTATTCTCTTTTGCATAGCCAGCACCCCCACCTCAAAGCCTGAGCTGGATTTTAAGAAAACAGTAAAAATGATTTTGGTCTGGCAGATTGTTGAACTTCTTTTTAAGGAAGTCATGTGAACTCTGCAGACTAATGGCCATGAGGGGAGAAAACTTTCCTACAGAAAAAATGCCATGCCTGTAGGCCACAGGTGACAAACACAAGACCCAGGGGCTGAATCCGGCTCTCCACCTTATTTTTTCTTGCCGGCACCTTGTTTCTACCTGGTGGCAGCACAGAGCTCTTGCTTAACTGTTAAGGAGTACTTACATTTATACAGTCCTAAAATTACATTCAGCCCTTTGAAGGCAACCAAGGCTGATGTAGCCCCTGGTGAAAATGAGTTGACACCCTTGCTATAGACAAACCAGCACTTCTCCTGAGGGCACAGCAGCAGCCAGAGGCCTATCATCCTGGGTCTGTGACTGGTTTGTCTTGAGAAGGAGGCTCAATTCTGATGAGAGTCGGCATCCAAGAAGGGTGCTAGGCAGGTCTGCAGACATTGGGGCCATAGAGGCCCTGCCTCTATGTTTGTTTATCATGGACTCTTAGGTCCTTTGACATCCCCACCTCTCTCAGCCCTCCTGTCATTTAGTCATCTCTTTGATGATGTTATTCATGTACTTGCCTCTTGAACAAGAGGCACATTTGATGACTACCATTTAAGAAGCATTATCTTTATTGATTTTTAGTTTTCAGGGCTTGTATCAAAACATAGATGTGGCTGGTGGGAGGTGATGAGTGTAACGCACTCACCATTCTGGCCATTCACTCTATGAATAAAGGTTTGTTTAGTCTTCAGAACACAACTGCTTCCTAACACATTGTTAGAAAGAGAATCCACAATTGTCTTCCTAAGTTGAACTCCCAGTTTTCTGCTTCAGAATTAGGAGGAGGAAAGCATTGATTTAGACCAGGGAATCAAATTGTTTACACTAACAGGAGGGTCCAACCTTTTGGTGTCTCTGGGTCACACTAGAAGAGGAAGAGTTGTCTTGGGTCACACATTAAATACATCATGACACATAATCACAAAAAAATCTCATTATGTTTTAAGTAAACTTGTGATTTTTGTGTTGGGCTGCATTCATAACCATCCTGAGCTGCATGTGGCCCAAGGGCCGCAGGTTGGACCCCCCATCAGACAGTAAGTAACTTAAACACAGGTAGAGTGTCTCATTTATGTTTTTAACCCTCTTCTCCCATCTCCCCCACTTACCAATAGAATTGATATTTGCTGGATGCAAAAGATAGGAATAATATTGACAGGGAAAGCAAATACATATTAATTAGCCCACAAATCAGCAGTCCCAGACAGTGTCACATGTGCTATGTCTGACAGAAAGGAAAGAAAAAGAGATGAGAAGCAGGCTTCCTGAGACATGGTTCAGATCTTGGGCACAACACTCTCATCTAAAGTCTGCTGTTTTATTTGTTTTTTTTTCATGGTGAAATACATTTTATTTTAATGTAAATTACATTGCTTATATTTCTTTATCTTAGGGTATGTAGATAACATTACATGTGAGGTGTGTGCCCAGGCCTGGGCCCCTTGCAGGAGAAGCTGGAGCACCCTGCTCTGGAATACTGGTAGTTCAATGCTGCAGTGGACCCACGAAGGCTTTACCCACTTCAGCTGGCCTCAGGCCTCAGCCAGTCACCATACCAACCCTGTGAAGAGAGGGGCTATTAAATGGCTCTACTTTACAGATAATAAAACTGAGGCAGGAGGGCTGAGCCACTTATCCAGGGTTATACAAGAAATGGAAGGCTAAGGACTGACCCTTAAAGCCTAGAGGGAAAAGGACTTATAAGGCCCAGGTAAGGTTAGCTGTAGAAATGCAAGCCTTTCTGTGGATAGTGTTAGAGCTGCCTTGCATCTTAGTCTTTGAGCTTCCTAGCAGCCAGAGCAAAGAAAGGGTTATTCCCAGTGGCCATTAGAACAAAGCCAACCTTATGGAGGTTGGGATCTAGAAAACTTGCTCCCCAAGAGTGGATGCTGCAGGACGTGGTGGGTGATTCAGCTGCTTGTACCACAACTACCGTTGTGGTTTGGCTGTTTTGATTACCTAAGCAGTGTGATTCTGAGGTGGGTCCAGAGAGCAGCTGTTTGTTGGCCTGGCTTATTCTGCAAGGCAGGTGGACTAGGGCATGTGAGAGAAGGGGAACCTGAAGCCCCAGTGTTCCTGTACTTGCTGACAGAGCCCCAGGGTTTGGGTTCACTTCTCTCCATCATGGTTCTTTGTCAGCACATCTCTCAACCAGGAAGGCATCCACTGGTCCCTCCACATAGCAGTGGGTGCTCCCAAGTCCTGCTCTAGCCGGACCACAGGTGCAGCTGTCCTATCTTCATGCTCCCACTTGCCCCTCCAATCTCTTGCAGCATGGAGTCAGACCCAGTGCTTCAGATCCCAGCTTTGCACCCAGAGCTGTGTGTCTCTGGGGCAGACAAATAGGCTGACTGGGGCAGCTTGCACCCAGGGCTGCCATGAGGGTTGGAAAGAACCCATGTCGGGCTCACCCTGCAGGAGGATGGTAGGCATAAGTCAGATATCAGCCAGGGCTCCGTGGATGCAGAGGGACAATCCTCTCTTTACCATTGCCCACCAAGTCAGCAGTTCCTCAGCTGCCAGGGATGGAGCTGGGGAGGGAACTGGCATGGAGGGCCCTGCATTCAGAGTAAAACCAGTGGCTTTGCTTCTTAATCTCTGCATTCTCTGGGGCTGGGACCAGGACCAGGCCTTAAAGTCTGTTTTTAAATTATGGTAGATTGTGTTTACAAGATGGCCTCAGTAATATCTCCCATCCCATTGGTTCTCTTTCAGTGAAACTTTGCTACTCTTCCCACTGAGAGGTGGAATCTACTTGCTCTCCCTTTAGTGTGGGCTGTCTTTGTGACTTATTTTGAGTAATAAAAAGAGGCAGAACTATCATTGAATAACTTTCTAGACCGAGCCTTAAGAGATCTGCAACTTTTGCCTTAGATGTTTGCAATGCCACCTGTTGGAATCCAGCTGCTTTGTAAGTCAGATGACCCTGCTAGAGAAAGACTACAGGGAGGGAATCCTGAAGCCACCTTGGGTATTCCCATCCCAGCTGAGCTCCCACCTGAAGGCAGCCCCTTGTGTGACCCTGAGCACAAGTCACTCAGTGGGGCCCTGTGTAAATTCCTGCTCTTCAGATCATGAGTAAATAAATGGTGGTGTTTTAAACACAAAATTTGGAAGTATTTTGTTTTGCAGCAATAGATGACTAAAATGAGGAGATTGAGTCCTGCACCAGGCCCATGAACCAGATTCTCTAGAGATAGAACACGGGCATCAGCATTTTAACAGGCCCTGCCTGCAACTGAGAAATTGTGTCCAGTCTCCTGCTGACTACTTCCACTGGCTGCTTCATTTGTGGCCCTCAGACTCAGTGGGCCTGAAGTCTTGGACCATACAGTGAGTTTGAGCTGTGGGGACACACACAGTCAGAGATGAGACAGCCTCAGAAAGGCAGTCTTGGAAGAAACAGAGTATGAGAGAGTTCGGTGTGACATAGACACTGTGAGGAGAGTCAAAGGAAACAGAGCCACGAAGTGTTTGAGCTGAACAAAATCTTGCGAGCATTTTGCAACATGGGAGCCAGAGGCCCAGAGAGGGGAATTGACTGGCTCAAAGTCACGTAGCCCATTAGTGGCCCAGTCGGAACCCAGGTGGTCTCCTGAGAAATTATCTAGCCCTCTTTCACTTGCCTCATTCATCTCTTGGAATTTCTGTCTCCTAACTGAGGAGTGAAAAAACACATGATTTCCTAAATGCATGGAAAATATTTTAAAGTATTAACTAAGCTGTGTAACTTGTGAGTATTGAATATCAATGTTCC